AGCAGGCAGGGCACTGTTAACTGTTCTTTGTTTTAGTGGAGCTAGCACTTATGAAGAACATGGTGCTAGAAAGACAGTTAATCGATGGCATCTTGTTGGCATGGCAGAGGGTAATGTCAAATGCTCCCTGTTAGCTCTTCTGGTGCCCCTGTGATGCTTCCAAGCTTGTGAGAAAGCACAATGACCCAAAGTCTCAGGGGTCAAACAGTGAAGAGGGGAGCAAGTAGCATCTTCTTTCTCAAGAGATTGCTTTGGGGAATTTTCTCTTTGTCCCCTAGTACTTTGTCTCACTGAAGGCTGACTTCACAGTATTGCCACTGCTGCAGATATTCTGGGCAGGAAGCTCACACACTTAGAATCTCTGCATCTGGTTGGATCTTGCAGCCCAAGGTCTAAGGCTGGAGACTTATTGAGATTTACTGAGCAGGTGAATTGAAAGCCCAATCTCTCTCTTCTTTCTCATTTGGGAAATGAAAAATTCACAGACTGAACACTTCCCTAGATTATGAGCCTCTAGTAAACAATTTAACATATTCAACATTGCTAGGTAAAGCACCATCCCAAAAGAGGAAATATATAAAGGCCTGGAGATCTTGAAGTGGTCATGCTGAATGCAGAAAATTGAGAGATAGTCTTTTTGGGGAAAAAGAAGCCTTCACCAGCTAGAAAACCAGGGGTCCAGAGGCCAACAAAAACTCCCCTTCTCTCTCCTCAATGACAGGAATGAATAAACAAGTTAAAACAGTAACAAAAACTTTAAAGAGCTCCCTCCCTCCCCCCCCAAAGCAAAACAAAACAAACCACACACATTAAAGGGATAAGAAAGGATTGTAAGAATAGCAAAAAAATTGCTTTGAGTGGTTGTGAGGAACTAGTGAGTGAGGCATGCAGTACACTTTAGGTTCTTAGAGCAGTGCAAGGAAAGGTGGACACATGTACAGCTGAGGCAACAAGCCTCCACTCATGTGTGTCTGGAAAATGCATAAGGACAAGCACTCAGAGGACAAGTAATGTTAAAAGCTGAGAGGATAATGATAAATGAGTAGTTCTCAAACTCTGAAATAGCTGTTTTTAAACACCTTTTACCATGTCATGAATTCATCAGCTGATCGCCTCACTGCAGAGGAGAACTGCTTTAATTTGGCTGAAGCACCAAATTCAACATAACATTAATAATATCCAAAGATAGGATGAAATCTGTTTCCTCAAGGAGGATTGGCAGCTTTTAGTATTCACAATGACACCAAGTTAAGTTGGTCAGAGAACTTCCCTTTACAATATTTCCACTTAAAAACTGTTTTTGATTGTATTAAGCTAGTATCTTTTGCTTTAAGAATCAAAGGCCACCG